ACAGACGTACAGACAGGCTGAGAGAGACAGACAGAGGAGGTCCCACTGCAGTCAGAGAGAGGCCCCTGTGCAGTGAAGGGAAACAGAGGCAGAGAGAGATCAAGGTGGGGGGTGAGAGAGGGGCTCACCTTTGATGTCTTCAAGCTTGCACACTTTCAACACCCAACCTGCAAGAGACAAGCAGAGCTGTCACACCCTCCCTGCCCTTCTCCTTCGTCTCCGGGAGACAGCGGCACAGATCTGAATGTCACGATCAACCGGCAGGCTGATGACTCCCTGACTGCTGGACTCAGGGACTCTTTGGAACAAGTAGGTGATAAATCCAGACTGGCACCCCAGGACTGGAGCTGGGGTCCCTGGTCTGGCTTGTGTATAGTCACCTGGCACATCCCCGCCTCACACAGCTTCAGTTTCTAGGCAGTGGCAAGGCAAGAAAGGCCACAGAGCAAAAGCGATTAAAACTCAATCAGACTGCACAGCTCCCTCTCTTGTCCTGACCACCACTACGTCTGCTGCACTGACAATCAGAAGGGCCTGCTGGCTCCTTCAGGGGCAGACTCACTCTTCAGTGTGCCCTGCAGGACACAGGCCGCCAGCACCGTCAGGGAGATCAGCAGCAGGCCGACCAGGACAGGCAGGCTCCAGCGCCCCCTGTAGGCTGGGAGAGACAGGGCAGGGGCAGGTTAGGGACATGCTCTGCGCCGAGCCAGCGTATCACATTACCAGCGAGGCCATCTGCTCATGAGAGATCCTCTTTACCCAGTGCTGTGACTTCCTAAAATAAACCTGGACAGTAGAGATTGGGGAACCCCAAGAGGTCACCCTCATTTATAACTCCACTAGCTACACAATGAGCAACGCACTGGGTTACATGTCTCACAGGCCAAAAGATCGGGTCTTACCAATATCGGCGGGACAGATCACAACTCTGGGTGAGAAACGGACGTCGGTTCTCCAGGCCTGGAGAGGTGAGGTAAGAGAGGAGAGAGGGAAGAATTCATGAGACACATCCATCACTCTGGTATGCACACCTGTTTCTCTGCCCCGTGCTGGCTGGAGCTGCCTGGCTCACTGCTATAACCCCAGTGTGCCCAGTCCCCTGACAAGCCCCCCCACAGTGTCCAGGAACACCGTCACAGCGCCAGTGACCCAGGCAGACGGACAAACTGACCTCCACGCAGCCACTCGAGCCCAGGTCGCCGAGCCGGACCTGCACCTCGGCCCCCTGCAGAGAGAGAGGAGTCGTGAGGCCGGAACAATTCCTTCACCTTCGATCCCCTGCTCGCCGGCGGGACCAGGCCCCCGCAGAGGCGCCCTGTTACCTGCTCTGTGCGAGTGATGTTGAGCGGGAGGCAGTCGTTCCCCTGTCTCCTGCACAGCGAGACGTGCTTGGTCAAGCTGACGGACAGGATGTGACCCCTGATGGAGGGGTTTGCACCCCACTGGGGCTGAGAGCCTAAGAGAGAGAGGGGGAGGGAGGGAGGTCACTCAAACTGCTCCTGTTGTGTGACGTTAATCCTAGGCATATTTCTGTCCCTAAACCTAATTCTAGTCCTTATCCTGCCACCAACCCTAGCACAATTCCTGACCCTGATCCTAACACTCATTCTGTACTTAACTCTAACCTTAACCCCCAGCACTCCTTACTGCAACACCGAGCGGCTGTCTGTAGCATCTGCAGATGCTGGGAATGGTCAGTGACTCACCTGCGAAGGGACACCAGGGGCCAAGGGCTCTGTCCATCCCCTGTACGGCAGCCTGGACACAGACACACAGAGACACACATCAGGTCCGAGCACACACACCTCACACCTCGCCTGGGGCAGCACAGGCTCTCTGGGGCAAAGCACTGCCAGCCTTTCCCTTCACTACCGCAACAGTCTAGCAGGGCAGTGATGGAGGGCCTGTCAGAGGAGCTGAACCTCTGCAAGCACCCAGCCTGAACCACAGGGTCACCGTGAAACTCATCCCAACCCACCGGCCCCGCAGCTCAGAAAGAGAGGGAGGTGTATGGACTCTACTGTTTCATCTGCACAAGAAGTACAGTTTAGGGGTGAATGCTCATATCTGGGTGAGGTACTGTAACTAGTGGGGTACCACAGGGATGTGTACTAGGACCACTGCTCTAATTAGTATGTATATTGAATCTCGATCCTGGTGTCGTTAGTAAACTAGACAGGTTCGCAGATGATCTCAAGTGAGGAGGATTAGCAAACACTGTAGAGGCAGCAAACGAAACTGAAACAGAGAGAGCAGCGATGACGATCTTACCTGCACGCACAGCCAGGGATGAGGGTCAACGTCGATGAACTCATCTCGTCTCTGCAGCACACACAGCCAGGAGACAGACAGACAGACAGTGAGGTCCGGTGTATTTCTGAAAATATTCTACACAATTTCCGATGTACAGTAGTTACTAAAAAGACAACTGTGCACGACCAGTTTTCTAATTACTGTTCCACTGTGACCTCTACTGCTTTTCCCATAAGCGTCTAACATCCTTTCAAACACAACGTCTTCCCCACGGTCTGTGCCTGCCAGTTCCCAAACACTGTCAGGTGCCAGGAGAACAGGGACAGCACCTCAAGACAAAGACTGTCTGTAGCAGGTGTCTCCCACATGATGAGCTGAGAGCCCTGTTTCATGGAGACACCTTTTCTCTCATCTCCACAGGGCAACACCCCTCCCAGGTCCCCACTCACTCACAGGGCAGCCTTTCCTCAGAGGCTGCTAGGACAGTAAATCCACAACGTGCTCCCATGACACATATAGGCCTTGATTTTGCAATTTGCCCTTTTCTGAGTGATATCAAGATCATTTATATATCCACACTGCTGTGGAATCAAAAAATACCTGTGAACCAACTTTTAATGAACGGGCTTCCTGTATGTTCTGCAGCCGCTGCCTGGAGCCCTGTATCTCCCTGCAGCCAGAGCCCCTGCCTGCTGCGCGCTCACACAACCACAGGTCGGCCTCCAGCCTGCAGGGGGCAGTGAGGTTCCAGGAGATCGCTGTGCCGTTAGTCCGCGTCTTCACCTCCCTTACTGACACCGTCACGTTGTTCCACACGTTCTGCAGGAACTCTGAGCAGGCAGAGCAGAGGGCAGGTGCAGAGACAGGAATGGAGATGTACAGGGAGAGAAGGGTAGGAGAGAGGTCAAAGAGAGAATGTTGTAGCGTTAAGACAGTAAATTCACAAACTGTAAAACACAGACTAGAGACACTCCCAGAGACAGACAGGAGAGACACAGGTACTGGGACTGAAGCTCCTATTGTAACAGACTGTTCTACTGTACTGGGACTGTAGCCCCTATTGTAGCAGGACCCCTATGAAATTTTAGTAATGTG